CACGACACACGACTTGAACCCACGACACATCACCAGTACTTATTTGCACTTCCATCACACTAGCCAGCTCATAAGTGACAGCAGCTGTGTGCATGATTATTTATATTGTACTGTTGCTGTAATATATACACGCTTTCTTTGTACAAATTCCAGCGAAAATGAGCACTCCAAAGTTGGAATTGCAACAGGGTGGCTCATCTTCAAGCAATCTTGTCACCGAAACTCGTAAACCTTCCAAAGTACGGTTTCTTCTTGGTATATTATTGATTATTTTTCTCGTGCTGGCGATTGTGTTTATCGTTCTGTATGTAAACGAAAAGAAAGATGATGAAGGTGATGGAAGTGTTGTTGGACGGAATAACACCCAAGGTCAAGGAGGTGGTAGCCAAGGAGGTCACGGGCAATTGTGCGAGGATCCATCGTGCGTTATTAGTGCTGGAGGTAGGTTGTGTGCCATAACGTTTACTATTGCTGGGTTCCTAGTATAAAGGAAGCGTTTATGATATATGGAAAGCATTTATGTGGCGAGCGTTTATTTTAAGGGGGAGCATATATTTTAAGGGGGAGCATATATTGTGGTCCACTTCAGCTATGCGGATTCTTAAATTAAGGAACAAGTGGATTCCAAATAATCTCTAGGGTCTGTTACAGAGGTCTGATCATGTACTGAAGCTGATGCAAATGACCTAAACCGCTTTCAGTGTTTGAAATCGTTTCCATTCAGCTCTGCATATACTATGAAAAGTTCGAAGTTTAAACAAAACCTCAAATCCAAATAGAAGACTAACATATAATGTACAATGAAAATAAATTAAAGAAGTAACCTGATATTTTGAACACAATTTGCTGCATTTAGACTTTAGTGCTTATTTGTTTTTATGAATCCATTGGTATTGGGAAGCCCTGGCGTGCCATTAGGAATTGAAATGCCTTGAATTTTACATGATCACATGGAAAGCCGGGTTAATTAATTAAGAGTATTGTAAGATCTGTGACACAGGCTGGGTTAAGACCAGTTTATTATAGAGCATTTCCTTTCGGTCATGATATACTACAGTATATTCATCCATTTCTGTCAACATCAACCGTGAGGAGAATTGAAACCGAACCGATTAGTACTGGCATGGGGTAAATGTAAATTTAACACAGTATTTTTTAGCCGGTCTAAATTTTGCAACAAAGAGACCTTACGATTTTAGGTTGGCAACGCGACGCGCAACGGCTACCAATACAATTATAGATTATTGAAAAGAATTGAAAAACTACAATAGATTAATAATTTAGACATTGTCCTCGCTCTGTTTACAATGCCATTATTTCGTTGGCCTCAGAATGACAAAACGTAACAAAGCAACGGTTTTACTAACACTGACCCTACTCCAACCCTAACCTAAGCCTACTCCAAATTTGTTTCTACTAGAAACCGGCCAATCTTGAAGAAAAAAGTTTTGACGAAATGTCATTCTGAGGTCAGCGAAACCGCAACAAGTGCAACTTCAAACTGGGTTCAGGAGAACTCTTCCCGACCACAAAACCCATATCTTCAACTTCTAAGACTGTATTAAATTCATACGATTGATAATGTACGGCGAATTATTTGAAGGAGTTTGTTTTGGCCGTCGTCATCGCCGTCGTCTCTAAGACCTGGATTGCATTTTCAATGCACGAAATAAGCTCGAATTACTTCGGTACCGGCCCTTTGTAAACATTCAGTTTACCGGCTCTATAGTTGTCGGGATGACTTGCCGTTCTGACTCGTTAATTCTTCGTGTATAATGTGAACATGGGCATACGTCAAATCACATCCTAAAGCTAAAAGCCTAAAATGCGCCTTTTTATCGATATTTGCGAAAATCTTGCTTCAATAAATCTATTTTATTAGCTAGGAAATCATATAAATGGTATAATCAAATACTCGCTATAGCTAAAGAATTTAAAGACTTTTAAAGACTTTCTTCGCTTTTTCACACAATTGAAAGACTTTTCAAAGACCTTAAAGACCTGCATTCAAATTTAAAGACTTCCAAGGATTTCAAAGACCGCTACGAACCCTGGAGATGTTTCCCTGGTGATGGCTCAGAAATAGAGTTGCAATAAATCGACAAGCAGGATGAACTTCGAGGGCTTATTCCACCGTCTGGAGAATTTTAAGTTTGGTGAAATTATTTATATAGATGGAACGTTAATCGATTGTCCTCGCGCGAAATTTGAGGTAGCCTAGCCGTTAATCCGGGCTAAAAGAATTTAATACCGATTGGCGATTGTTTTCGTTCTTTAAAATGGCGATTAGATCAAATTATAATATACTTGAGTTGACCTTTGTGCTAAATACGGATTTGAATTTGTAATTTCCCCACCAGTTGGCTGCTATATAATCATCACACCATGACATAATCTGTGATTGTGAAGATACGATGATGGTCTGAAACCCGGCAAACTTCAAAGCTGCTAAATAGAATACTTTGTTTGATGTTGAATTGTGTCTCACCATGCACAAATCTTTTGTCTCAACAATTTTTTCTGTCTCAACTTTTTTTTATTGGACAAAAACATATAACAAACACTTATTTCTTAGTTTCCAGACCATCATATCTTGATAGACTATGACCATGACAAAAGACAATTGACTGAATTATCTCAGAGTCTCAGCCTTGGATATAGAAAGCGTTAATAGTTAATAAAGAAACTTTTTTATATTCAGCGCAGTTAAGTAAATGTAATAAATAATTAACTAAATGATATATTTTTTAACATTTTTGCACAAGCACAATTGGAAAAGCCACAAAGCCAAAGGCTATTAAATTAATTTGTAATAACTTATATTGAAATAAGTTGTCACAAATATATATGGTTGTACAGGCATAGCTACATTTCCTTTCCATATTTTGAATCTACTATAGTCTCGGCCTCGCCGATGCACTGAACTATAATTTTATTCAGAATCAAAATGCGCGATCGATTATTCAGAATCAGCATGCGCTGTACATGTCGACAATGGCTGGCCGCTATGACATATAAGTGAGTGATATAAAGCTGCAGGGTTTGTGTTAGATACGGCAAAGAGGGAAAACGAAAATTGAAATATATGGGAAAATCAAGCATAAATGCATTCGCGTTGTAGTAATTTTGACAGTTGTGCTATTTTAAATTCCCAGGCACCTAAAATCTTTTGTCCTTATTCCTTAAAACAATGTCGATTTCTTGGGAAATTCCGAGGTTGCGTTTATTTTTATACACCTGTACACTGTAGTACTGAGTCTCATTAAAGACCATCAATTAAAACATATTAAAACATCTGTTTGCACTGTGACCAAAGCATTTAAATGCTTGAAATTCTTGCTTGTGATTGGATTAACGTTGTTTATCAAAGTAAACGAGTGAGTTATGACATTAATTTTTCAACATTGCTATTATTTCTTATTTTAATACTGAGGGTCTCCCAGGATTTTTTAGCGTACAAGGGAGCAAAGCATAGATCACGGGAACAAAGCCGAAAAACCATAGGGAACACGTTAGCTTGGGGGAACAAGAGAACATTACACGGTGCAATCTTTCTTTGGAACAATTCCCCTTCCCGCGCCTCCCTATTTTCGTTGCCCGCGCCTCAACCCCAACCTTTAAAACCGCCGGCTACAACCCCAACCCTTAAGACCTCAACCCCAACCCTTAAAAGCGCCGGCTACGCAGGCTATGGAACAAGGGAACGAAACATGTCAAGTTACGAGGGAACACGTGCCCTCCACCATCCCTGGGAGATCCTTAGTTACTTTCCCATTCCCTAGGATACCAGTTATGTTTTGCTTAACTTGACATACTTCTGTAAAAGATAAATTTAAAATTAAAAGGTTAGGCCGGGTTAACAATATTGGTACTAAATTTATTGAGAAAAAATATCACGTCTCATAAAAATCGCGTGAAAACTGGCCTCATATGAGGCTATGAAGTAATGCATAAAATGTCGAACAGTTTGTTGGAAAGCAAGTTGTTCATATAGACTTTCTTCATAATCACGTCAAACGCGAATCGTAATGCAAATCAGTGCTGATCGAGTGTGAATGCAAATCATTGCAAATCATTGATGAGTTTGAATACAAATCATTGCCATAGTCCATCTGTCCATAGCTAAGCCTATACGGCTATAGTATAGTCTATATATAAATTGCCTACATCCGCTGTAGAGCTAATTAATCCGCATCATTCATATATTCCCACGCTCGTGCAATTACTAATTCTCGTATGAGTGAGATTTTATAAAGTGTTAATCCCAAAATAAATAACCTGAGTGGACAAGGCCCAAAATAAATAACCTGAGTGGACAAGGCAATAAAAAGTTATTAATATTTATTTTAAAAAACGCAAGTAAACTAATTGTTACCTCGATGACAATGCTTTTCAACAGTAATTAAGGTCGCGGTCACACTTGTGCTTGGAGATTACCACCGGATTAGCGTGCTTGCTTGAACACATACCAAGCTCACGCGTAACTAAGTTTAGAACATTTTTATAGGCAATAATAGAGAATACGTCCTTACCCTTTATAGTTCAGCCTTAAGTCTCTTGCCGGTGTCCCAGTTGATTTGGACCCCGTAGATTTGGACCCCCGGTCCATATCCACTAGTACACATGGACCCCCGTTGGCGGATTTGGACCCCCCTTCAAAAGTGAAATATATGTAATGTGAACACAACTGAATATGAACGAAATTCATAACAGCGATCAATCTGAAGTATTTAGTCACTTTAAATATTTGTGATAAAGGCCATGCCGGAAAACATAAAATAGAAAAATAGAATACAATCAATTGTATACAGCATTTGGATCGACACGAAACACGACTTTCATGAATGTTTTTAAACAATAATTGATGGTAACTCATCTAAATGGAAGCCTTTTTATCTATTTTGCTCATATAAACGTCATATTGCGTATATACATGAGTTTTAGTGTGTTTATTTGTCCTTTTATAGTTGTATACACACTTTCCATTTGGACCTTTCTAGTTTAGGCCCTACTAATTGTAGTTTACGATTTTTGAATTTGGATCTCACTGGCAATAAAAAGTTTTCTATTCACAATAAATGACCATGTGTGGTTGATAACCGACCTATTTCAATCATTTCTGCAATTGCTAAAAGTTTTGGAAGGCTCGTTTATGACCAATTTTATACATATTTAACTGATAATCAGCTTATCAATCCTTATCAATCTGGCTTTAGGTCTAATTACAGCACCCTCACTTCTTTACTAGAAGCAACTAATAACTGGTGTGTCAATATCGATAGAGGTCTTTTAAACGGCGTAGACTTCATTGACCTGAGAAAGGCCTTTGACACTATTGACTATAACATTTTACTTTCAAAGTTGAAAGCATATGGTGTGGATGACTTGGCACAATCTTTGTTTAGATCCTATTTAACTGATCGTGGGCAAAAGTGTTTTGTTAACAGTCAGTTTTCTGGTATCTCTTCTACATCCAGAGGAGTTCCTCAGGGTTCTATAATGGGGCCTCTGCTATTCTTGGTCTATATCAATGATCTCTCAAACTGCCTGAATGAGGGTTTCGCAAGGATGTTTGCTGACGATACCAACCTAAATTTTAGTAGTGATAATTTATCTCACCTTGAATTTCTGATGAATTCTAGTCTGATTAACCTAAACAGATGGTTAATAGCCAACAAATTAAGCTTGAATATTGCTAAAACTGAGTTCATGATCATTGGTTCACGTCAGCGTTTAGCAACTTTTAATAATTACGAGCCAAGTGTCTCGGTCGACAATGTGCCAGTGAGGCAAGTTAGTTCAACTAAAACCCTAGGGCTAACCTTGGATGAAAACCTTACTTGGAGAAACCATGTTGAGGTCATCACTAAAAAGATCTCTTCTGGTATTGGAGCTTTAAAGCGGGTGCGCGGGCTGATTGACCAAGAAACTGCTATTAAAGCCTATAAAGGTTTTATTGAACCATACTTTTCCTATTGTGCTCCAGTATGGGACGGCCTCGGAGTAACTCTAAGTGATAGACTTCAAAAACTTCAAAACAGAGCAGCTAGTGTTATTACCCGTTCTTCTTACGATATTTCTTCTAGTCAACTTCTAGATCAGCTGCAGTGGAACACTTTGTCAGTTAACCGTCCAAAGCAAAAAGCTGTTGTTATGTTTAAAACTCTTAATGGTCAATCTCCCCAGTACTTACAAGAATTGTTTTCATCCAGAAATTGTCAATATTTACTAAGAAATTCTAATGGCAAGTTGTTTATTCCTAAGCCCAATACTGATTATCTTAAGCGCTCTTTCAGTTATAGTGGAGCATCACTATGGAACTGCTTGCCTGAATCTCTTAGATTATCATCATCCCTCTCCTCGTTCAAAGGAAGTCTGGAATCTCTGTATTCTTCGAGTCTTACCGACTCCCACACGGCATCCAGGTAGAACAGTACCTCTCCTCTTTTCCTTCTTCCCTTCAATTTTGTCTTCTTCCTAACTTATATTAATTGCTTTTATTTGTAAATAGCTAATTTTCATAAATATGTACTGATGGTTCTCCTTGTTCTAAATAAAGTCATGTATGTATGTATGTATGTAAACTTAACACAAATTGATCAACATTATTCTTAGTGAGTTCGTGGACCTGAGAAAGTACTTTAGGTAAATCTTTTCAAAACTGTAAAAATGTTCTACAGGTTTAGGATGAACTACAAAAAAATGTTCCATTCCAAGGCAGTGCTTAATTTACCAAATTGGTTTGTTTAGCATTTTGCATAGATTTAGCTAAAAGCATTAGCATTTCTAAAATTATTATGAATTCTTAAGGCCAATTTTCCGCAGAAAGAAAATTTTGTGAGATGCGATTGGCCGACATAAATTTTCCCCAGTGGCTGCGCCAGGGCAAATGCCCCCCCAAATTATTTTTTGCCCCCCCCCCATTTTGCCCCACCTCAAAAAAATTATTAGTCACTAAGAGCGACTAAAGGCTACACAAGCGTTCTGTCGTTATCGGAAAATGTATGGCTTATAAGTTGTCATTACTCATTAGTGAATGCGCGTATACATGAAACTGTTTTTTACAGTTTCAATATTAGTTTGTAAATCTCTGAATGGTAAAACTTGCCAATACTCCAATAATACGTTTCAAAAAAAGACAAAAAAGTTTTAGTTTTGCAGAGTGAAAGTGCCTATATAACTTGTGGGACATTTATGGATTTGAAAAGAGCGTAAAAAGTTAGTTAATAAGTTCAAAAGATTTTTTTGATTTAGTGCAATAATTTCGAAGATACAGGCCTCTAAACTACCTACAGTTCCTGAGTCCCAGGCTCCTGGGATCTAAACACGGCTATTGAATTTGGCCTTTTTCGAAACTGTCCATTGTGCATAGGAGCCTGGGACTCAGAAACTGTAGGCATCCTCGTCCCCAGGCCCAAGCTCGGGCGGCCTTCACAGTGGCCCTGGTTCAGGCTGTTGAGCAGTTGATTGTGATTGGCTCTTTTGGTCTAAAGGAATGTTGCGGGTGGGAAGGAAATGCGGGTTAACAATAAACAATGGCTGGCGCGAAGAGTGGCAATTATTATAAACTGGTATTAAATTATGGTAGAAATCAGATATTTACATGTAAATTTTTGCTTAAACTATGATATGGACAAATTCAAGACTGCTGGAAACCAACTACATGGATATTTGAAGGATTAAATACA